ACTAGCATGATTATTTAAGAGAAAAAAAATAGTAAGCATTAGAAATAAATAATTAGAAAACAAAGCATGACTTTAAACCTAAAATGCATGCACATACACATATATGCTTCCTTTTTTAATATTGTTTAAGATGTTACACAAAATCACAAGAATTAATTATCTAATCAGATCCAAGATTTTGTACATCCACATCTAAATCACCTAGAAACCATACACTATGTTGTACATTGTACAAACTCTATTTCTGGTAAAGCCAATGAAAACTCCATCATACACACACTATATATATGCATAATTGCATGCAGACATGAACACCATGCATATGGAGGCATGATTCAAGAAAGTAATGATGTAGTTTTTGATTGATTAATGACAGAGCCTATCATAGAGGTTACATATTGGTAAAGTGTATTCAATTTGTAAGTGTTGAGTGATTGATATAATTATGTATTAAATAGTTTTTTGATCAGGTGATTATTAGAGTTAGTTACAGTAATGATGTAATTACATCATTAGAGTTTATTAGAGTAATAACATAACTATGTTATTAGAGTATATTAAAGTAATAATGCAATTATATAGTTTTTTTGATTAGTAATTACTAGGTCATATTTAAAGAGAATAAGATTTTTCTTAAACAAAGTAATTTCTGTTTTTTCTTCTAACCTAACTTTGTCTTGTTTTTTTGTTTCACCCTTTTCTACTCTCATAGAGGCCCTAATAAGTACTGTTAGTAAGCTGTAAGTAAACTTGTTTTTGAATTATGTTTTGGGATAGATTTGGCCTGTTGGATGACAGCCAAATTTATGTTTAGTAGGTGACCTGTTGGATGACAGTTATAAAAATTTGCCATTGTTTGTTTACAGTAAATTGGATTTGGTCTATCGGATGACAGCCAAAACTAGTGTAAATGCTTTTGAGACAATATTATAGAAAAATTCATATACAAATGAGTGTAATGCTTAGTTGTTTTTATGGTAACATTTATTGACATTTTTATATGCACTTTTATTAGCACATTTTGTTTGCAATTTATTTTTATTTGCACTTTGTCAATACTTTTGAATTCTGTTTTGGTCTAGGAAGTTGGATTGCATAAAGCAGCAGAGGCAAAATACTCACAATTGTACTTTATAATATTTATTGCTAAAAGTTTCCTTGATAAGTGACAAAAAGTTTTTTCTGTATGTTCAATTAATAATACTTTTTTTTTCTATATGTATAGTTTTGTTTGTTCTTTTACTGACTGATCAGTAAGTTATACACTTTACATGACAATCTATATTTGTGGTGCATCAGCTATAATCTGAAGCAAGTGCATAATATATATAAATGATTTACAGTTATACATTAAAGAAAAGATTAAAGGCATTAACAAGTAAGTTATCATTTTGATGAAATAAAACCTGAACCTACTTTTGGCACAATGAATTTTTAGCAAGTTATCTTTCAATGAATTATATTAACCATTCAATTAATCGATCATTAACTAATTACATTGAGAAAGCTACTTGAGAACACCTATAATCATCTTTTTGGTCGAATATAAAAGTGAATTTCTAATCCTAGAGTGTTATCAAGCAACTCTCTTAATGTGATCTAATAGTAATTAAGGTCATGCTCAATTATTACAATTAATCAAAACAATAATTGCAATCATTGCATAAGCAGACATTTTTGTTTACTCTACTATCATTACTTTACTATTATTACTCCACTATTATTATTTTACTATTATTATATCTTTAGCAAATTATAGCAAAAAAAAAAGACAACTATTTGGCTAGTAAATGTAACTTCATCAGTAATACCTCAACAAACAAATATACCTTTTTTGTTAGCAACACCTCAATAAACAAATGTAACTTTGGCAACATTAAGTGTTCTATCTTCTTCTTTTACAAACTTCACAAACATTCATATGTTATTACAGCAACAGTATTTACAGCTTATTGCACCTTTGGCTTTGACCAAAATCAATGTTGAAAATAATAAAGTATTGAATACCAATAATTAGTAAAAAAATAAAATTAAAATAAATAAATAATTTTTTTTTTTTTAAGAATTTTCTTTAACAAATAATGAACAAAAAAATTTATATATTTTTATATCTGCCAAATCTGTATCTAGTTCTTAAAGTTTAGCCTCAGCTTTTACTGTTTTAGTTAACAAATTATCAAATAGATGGACATCATCAGAAACTTGAGTGCTTATTGAAGAAGTTGAAAAGCATCAGTATGCATTACAACGAGTAAGAGATCCATGAAAAAAATGTAGAATTTGGAATAATATTATTGCAAATTTACAAAATTATTCTGATGCAAGTTCAAGCTTAAAGGATCACACAAAAACCTCAATTCAACAAAAATGTGATGCCTTTCTTCAAAAGTATCATAATATAAAAGACATTATTGAAACTACTAGTGAAAAAGCAGTTCAGAATAATTGGAAATTTTTTAATAATATAGACAAATATTTAAAAAAGGATCCAAGTATTACAGCACCTATTACAAGTGATTCTATTAATAAAATAAAGCACAAATTACAAAAACCCACAAATAATAATGACAATAAGATAAATATAAATTAATATTTATACTGTATTATTATTGTTATTTTATTTATTATTTCTTTTTATAGGTTGATTTCAAAAAAAAAAGATGATCCAAAAGTGAAAAAGAAATATTGAAAAGTTTTGTATACTTATTAAAGATCAAACTGAAACTATTATTGAAACTATAAAGAATCAATATATGCATACTACTAAAGTTCAGCAGAAGCAACACAATAAGCAAATTGAAATCTTTTAACAACTTTTAATGAAATTATAAAAATATATTTTATAGTTTTTATTTGCTTCAAATTAAATATATATTGTAAATTCTGTTACAATTATAAAATTTTAAAAAGATGATCTGCTAAATAATCTCTTTTTTGTGAGCCTACAATTCTATCAATTTCTTTATTGACTATAAATGTATTATTGTTAAATTTATTGTCTTCAATATCAATATTATTAACTTCATTTTTTTCTACTGTATTACAGCATCTTCTAAAGATAATAAATCTTTATTATTAATATACAAATTATGGAGAATACAACATGCATGAATGATCTTAACAATATGTTCTAGATCTGTACAATAAATCTTTTTTAGTAGAATTCTCTATTGTTTCTTTAACCATCTGAATGCTTGCTTAATGACCATTCTCATTGAAGAAAGGACTTTATTGAAATGTTATTTACAATGATTTAATGATTTATAATTAGCAAATCCTTTCATCAAATAAGTTTTAAGAGAATATGCAATATCAGTGATTATATATATATCACCAGAAACCCATTGTTCAGGGTATAATGAAATTTTACAATAAAATAAAGAACAATAAAACATACAGGCAACATGAACACTGCCTTAATAATAAATTTTATTTAAAATTAATAAAATAAATAAATAAATAAATAGGTTAGGTACTAGAAAAGGATGCAGGTCAAAATTCTGACAAACAAAATCATGACAGGTCATAATCTGACAAAAAAATCTCAACAGTCAAAAATCCTGACAATTAAAAAATTCCAACAGCCAGAATTTTTTGATAGAAGATCCCCAAGTATAAGATATGATTAAAGCAAAATAGGCTCTTATAATTTAATTAATTTTAGGCTTAGATAATAGTTAAAATAGAGTTTGCTATAGTCTATTATATTTTTTATCAGAGTTTTTAATTGTCAGAATTTTAACTGTCAGGATTTTTGACTGTCAGAATTTTTAGCTGTCAGGATTTTTTGTTGGAATTATGACCTGTCGGGATTCTGTTTATTAGGATTTTGACCTAAATCTCTAGAAAACAGGCCAAAAATAAAAAAGATTTTTAGGAAAATCAATTTTTGTATATATTATAAATCTTATAATAAATTATAAGAAAATGCAAACTTTTTTTTTTTTTTTTTAAATATTAAGGTAAGTACTTGCGACCCAGGATTTTATTGATAGTATATTTGGCTAATAATTGCTTTATAATCACAGGAGGCAACCATGAAGATAGTGTACAACTAGCCATTTGTACAATTTTAGTCATTGTCTAATTTAAATAGTCTGCCTGAAGGTTCTACACTAGCTGCCATACCTGGAACCCACTTGTAGGTTTCCTATTTAATCACTCTGTTTCTATATCCAACTCCCTACCTCTGTCTACCAATGATCCTGGCCGATGCTGGTGAAAATATGCTATGACTACTAAGTCTTTAAAGCAGTTCTTTGGAACCTTTGGCCTTGTATTAAACCTTCCAGAATCTTCTGTATCCCATTCTTACAACTGACCTGGTATTGCTATGACCAAGACCAACACTGGTGGTCAGGACATACCATTAAACTGCTATGCCCTTGTAAAGTTCACCCCAATCTCGATTCTTACTTCATAACATATTCTTACTACTTTGGTATTCAATTCAAATTCTACCAAACTGCCATTTCAGATAGCCCAGAAAGGTAAGGCGAGACCATACCTCTGGTTTACATGTTTGCCGACATGTACTCTTTTCCTCAAGAACTCAGAAATTCTGGTAGCCTGGTTGGTTCATCCAGTCCCTTCTCAAAGACCGGCACATTTGCCCAGTTTCACAAGTTCTAGCTCTGTTTCATAAGTCTAGTCTTTACAGTAACACCATCAAAAGCTCAGGTTACTTATTAACTTGGGTCTTCCAAGTGAGCTTCCATCTTTCTTCTATTGGTTTCTATGATTTACATGGCCACAAGAACTTATTGTAGGTTTGCACCACCTGGTACTGGTTTGCATTCCTTCATGTAACCACAGACCTTGTCCCAAAGAACAATGTTATGTGACTGTTACACAAATGCCATGTGACCTGCCAGTCAAAATGCAAACTTTTAAAAGTTATATTATAAAATTTTATTAACTACTATTTGAAAAATTGTTATTTTTGACTCTTTTTTCAGCACCTAGTCTAATAAATAATATACATAAAAAATATATATATATTAACCTGCTTCTCCTACATGTATGTATGTAAAACATTCCTGAAAATCAACAATTCCAAGAAGATTAATTGTATGAAAACTTTTACAATTTACAAATCGAGCACCATTTTTAAAAGAAGAACAGATTGGTATATGTGATCCATCCATAACCCCAATGACATTAGGTAATTTACAATTTCCCAGACCAGTTTCACCATATTCGAATTCATGTGTTACTACAGCTAATTGAGCACCTTTTGGCCACATAATTCGATCCTTTTCTATATCAAGCAATGCTTCTAAAAACTGATCAGTAAAGTGACATACTGATCTTTGACTAACCCCAAGTGTTTGTTCCAGTGTTCTTATGCCTGCACCGTTTGCAAATCGCCATAATACTATGCCAATTTGCTTCCATACAGGTGTTGCATTAAGAGCTTCAGAAAAAAAGGCTGAATGGTTTTTTAATCATGCAACAATATAGTTAAAAGTAATCAAGGTAATACAAAAGTGATGCCGAAATGAGTTGTAACCTCCTTTGTCTGTTAGATTTAGAAAAACTTCTTGCCAGAATCCTATAGTTTTTGGTCATTGTTGGCATTGGGCTTTTTTATTAGGTAAGGAAAATATATATGGAATTGCCATATTTAGCATAAATGTTAGAAGATAATAAATATTGACTAGTTGCGCACTTTGGGTTTCCTGAGATTTTTTATTTGCAGTAAGGGCTTCTAATATAAAAAGCAACGCAATAATTTTTGAACGATTTATTGAACGATTACAATTTTGCTGAAGATCCATGATGTAAAGCAAAGTGCTTGAACAATCTCTTTTGATACTCTATTAATAAGCAGTTTTAGCCAATCAGCGTTAACTCTATGAAAAAAAAAGATGGTATGTACCTCCAGATTTTTTCAGTGAAACGGCAACTCACTTGATCGGTTTTTTCAACTTCCGACTATTTAAAAATTTATTTCCGATCAATTGATTTAGGCGCTTGAGAACACCCCTAATCTATTACTATTAAAGACGATTACAGTAGATTGAAACTGCATGATGCAACTTCGATGCATACATCACGCCACCGAATAGTCCACGTATGTACAATACGAAACACAATGCTAAACATTCTCCCAGTACAGTAATATTACGTATTAAATGTTTACGTACGTACGTACTGTACGTGCATACATATAACCACTACGTAGAACATTAGTTACTACGTACTTTAAGATCAAACAACTGACAATTTCCTAAAGATGAATGAACATTATAATTTTTTTTTTAGAAGTATGATACATTTGCAGTTTTCTTAAATAAAACTACATTAACATATTTTCTTATTTTAGTCGGTGTGGATGGTGAAAGTAGCGGGGGTTTTATCAATGAATTTGCCAAAGATTTTGGCGCATATAAAGACACTTTGCATGCGCATGTCAAAACTACGTACATTCATCTAGATAATTACACCATTAAAGTAGAATTTTTGCAAGCCGGTATTAATAATTTTATCTTTATAACTAACATAAACTAACATATATTTGCTATTAGTTGGATTTTTATCATCACTAATAATTTATTCGATACTTGACATTAAATTTTATGACGCACAAGTTATTAATTTAATTAATATAAATATATCCGAGATAATAAGATAGTAGATACCAACAATTGATTATCATAAAATCCAATTAATAGAAAGTTCTGCGATACAATAATAGCATTTATTAATTATTATTATTGTTTTTTGTGATTGTATAGGACTGTACCTCAGGCCTAATAAAAAGTGAGTTACTATAATTCTACATGATGTGCTTTTTTTTAAATATGTTTTTTTATAACGTAAATATTATAGTTATTATAGTTATATTGACGGTGCTATACTTATTTGCAAAATTTCTGACACCAATGGATTGAATGAATTAAAGCAACTGTCGCACGAATATAATAGCTATGCGACTTATAAAATTCCTATCATGATTATTTCAAATAAATGGACTGAAGGTAGGAACGACATTTTGAATAAAATTAAAACCGTTGTTGGTAATGCAACATAACCAATTTGGTATTGAGTTGTGATCTTTAATTGTTAATTGTTTCTCTGCACGAATTAAATATCTTAGGCGAGGAATTTTTATTTGATGCAATCTCAATTGATGAAAAGACTAGCGGGCTCAATAAACTTTTAAAAGGTATTAATTCAAGTATAATGAATCGTATTATTAATTGATATTTATTGATTTATGTATTTATCAATTTAGAATGTATATTTAAATTCTCGGGTTTTAAAGGTGAGTTCCAATGTGTTAATTCCTTTCTTAAAATTATCTACGCATATTTATTATACTTTAGAAATCTATAATATAAATGGATTGATCCATTCAAATGATCAAATTGAGTCCATGATAGAATATGCAACACGGTTATATTCATTTGAGATTCCCATGAAGGTTATTCATGATAGACAAAAACAAATAGAAGGACTATCAATTGAAGGAATAAAATCCTTTTTGTCATTAGTACGTACCAATATGTGAATATATAAAATTCATTTACATCTTCATAGTTATATAAATAAATATCTTCCTCTTTATTAATTGCGTAATTGCTAGGAGGTGAGTACAAATTTCGATAATATTCATTTATTAAATCGGGATTTAATAACAAATAGAACACTTTATCAACTGCAATCGGAAATTTGCTAGAGAGTAAGCATAAATCTCAACATTATACTTTGTTGAATGTTACGGCTAATTCTGAAATTTGGGTTATTTTGATATAAAAATTGAATTTTTGGGGGGTGCTTTTTTCGAATGTTAGGTGGATTTGGAGCTAGAATTGATATTAAAATGTATACTAGGTGTGCAAAAGTTGCCAAACAGTCACTGTTTTTATATTAATAAAAACAATTAATATAATTACGTCACAATAACATTTTGCATAAATAATTTTAGCAACTTTTTGCACACGATTTTAACAGGGCATATTAGGGATGGTTGGGTCCCAGTTAGGTCCTGATAGGTTCTAAGTAAATTAATAATTTTTATGCTGATTTTTATTTTCAATTCGTAATTAAAATTATTAATTTAAAATTATAAACAATTTTACTTATAAGCTTAATGAAAAAACTTTCTTTAAAGTTTATAGATTTTTTAAAATATTAATTTAGAACTTAGGTCCTAGGTCCTAAATTAATATTTTAAAGAATCTATAAACTTTAAAGAAAATTTTTTGCTTTATAAGTAAAGTTGTTCATAATTTATAATTAATAATTTTAATTAAGAACTAAAAAATAAAAAAATCGGCATAAAAATTATTAATTTACTTAGGACCTAACTGGGACCTAACCATCCCTAGGGCATATACTATATTTTCAAATCAAGACTCTAAATTTCGGCATCAGCTGCGACATTGAATGAGTTTTTCACAATAAATTTATTTTAATTGTACGAATTATCAGGTCGTGAGCAGTGTTCGAAATCTGAGACTAAATTAGTGTTCTCATGTTCTATTTAGTATTTTTGGAGTCAATTTTTGAGTGTTCTCTAATATAAAAAATCAGCTTTCAGCTGTTCTCACTCACAAATTTGTGTTCTCATGAGAACTCTGAGAACACTAATTTCGAACACTGGTCGTGAGTATAAATTTTGTTAGCGTAAAAATATTTATCTGATAAATAATAATCTAATTAATACTATGATTAAATACAGGATGTAAGTGTAACTTCAATAATTAGCTCTTTCGAAATTTTTTATTTAATGAATCATATGATTGATACTTTGATATATTATAGTTAGTAAGTATAAATATCGATGATATTTATTTATTAGATTATAGTTTTATAAAGAATTAATCAATACTCCAATCGATTACATGATTACATAAATTACAGTATGTGAGTATAAATTTCAATGATATTTATTTATTAAATTATTAAATTATGGTTTTATAATAAATTAATCAATACTCCAATCGATTACATGGTTATATACATTACAGCGCGTGAGTATAAATTCAATAATACTTAGTTATTAAATTATACTTTTATAAAGAATTAATCAATACTCCAATCGATTATATGATTACTTAAATTACAGAGCGTAAGTATAAATTTCAATAATAATTAGTTATTAAATTATAGTTTTATAATGAATTAATCAATACTCCAATCAATTACATGATTATATAAATTACAGTTCGTGAGTATAAATTTCAATAATACTTAGTTATTAAATTATAGTTTTATAATGAATTAATCAATACTCCAATCGATTACATAAATTACAGAAAGTGAGTATAAATTTCAATGATCTTTATTTATTAAATTATAGTTTTATAATGAATTAATCAATACTCCAATCGATTACATGGTTACATAAATTACAGCGCGTAAGTATAAATTTCAATGATATTTATTTATTAAATTATAGTTTTATAAAGAATTAATCAATACTCCAATTGATTACATGATTACATAAATTACAGGATGTGAGTATAAATTTCAATAATACTTTGTTATTAAATTATAGTTTTATAATGAATTAATCAATACTCCAATCAATTACATGATTACATAAATTACAGTATGTGAGTATAAATTTTAATAATACTTTGTTATTAAATTATAGTTTTATAATGAATTAATCAATACTTCAATCGATTACATGATTACATAAATTACAGAAAGTGAGTATAAATTTCAATAATATTTATTTATTAAAAAATCATAATGTTATAATTATAAATGCTCTGTTGTATAAATTATAAATGCTCTCAAACAACAAATAATACTTCAATAATTTTATAACTGGCTAGGAAGTAAGTATATTCAATATTAACATTAAATAGTACAAAAAATTAACAATAATCACATAAATTACTAGAAAGTAAGTAAAATTTTCATTTTACTAAATCTAAATATTATCAAGAATCATGTAATTATACAATATTTTTAGATCGTAAGTATATTTTAATAATGATTATGATTATATAAAGTTTTAAAAATAATTAATTATATATGATACATTAGAAAGTAAGTGTAAAATATGCTATTTTACAAAATTTTGTAAATTATGGTAATTATAATAATTATTTGTATTGATACTAGGAAGTGAGTATAAAATTTTAATAACTAATTAGCTTGAATATTATTAAACTAAAGTCTAAATCAATTATAAGGGAGTAAGTATAAATTTAACTGCTTTATATTTTAAATTTCTAATGATAGTTTAAATTAACAAACAATATTCATTCTTAGATTGTAAGTACAATGTTTTATAGTGTTTAATTTACTCGATTTGAGTCTAATAATTGTAAACTTTTCTTTAATTGCGCTAAAATACAAATGTATAGTTTGTGAGTATAACAAATTATAACTCACACCACGGTGTTACTATTATGAAGATTAGTGATTGTGAATAACTTTTAGAGAAGTTAGCAAATTTTTTAGCTTATATAATGATGATAAAAATTCAAAAATATTGAGTTTATAAGTAAAATTTCACGCTGAACATTTTTATGTAAAAGCCGAAAGGTAGTCGTCTTAATAAATTTACAATTTTTTTTAGTTTTTGACATCACAAAAATTACTAAGATAACTGCTTTTTGGATTCAACTTCTAACTAAAAATGTTCAGCATGAAATTTACACATACAGTCACAAAATTTTATTTAAGATATTGCGATTTTAGGTTTTTACATTCGATCGTTACACAAATTGCTGGGGACAGTGATTTTCTGTGGTCAATACCGCGATATTTTAAAAATCTGTGATACTTTGAGCTGTTTTTTTTTTTAGAATTCTGTGGTGACTAAAGGTGATTTCTGTTGTTAGCTGTGTTTAAAAGAAATTCTGTGGTTTTGTGGATCACAGAAAATCGCTGTCCCTGATCTGATCAGATTAGTAATGTGGCTAAACCAACGCCTGTAGATCTTCCCTTACCCTAACGTGACTTTATCCCAACCTTAAAGATTGTTTACATCTGATTTTTCGATCTAATTGGATAAAAATCATGAAGGGGTTTTGTGGGAGAGCTACCAACTATTGGTAGAACACCAGTGATGTGATTTATCAACGTCTATAAATTATATTTTAATGTTCTAAATCATTACAAATTACTAGAAAGCACGTATTTTTAACAATATTTGATTATTAAATAATAAATCGTTAACTTACTAATTGCTTATATAAATTTAGAAAGTAAATATAAAGTTTTTTTTATCAATATATTGTTTATTCAATCAGAATTTTGTAATATATTCTAATTATTTCTATTGATATCCAGAATGTAAGTATAAATTTCACAATATTTATTTATTAAATCGGAGTCTCATAATAAATACTAATTAAATAAATTATAGGAAGTGAGTATAAAATTTAACAAAATTTATTGTTTTTTAAATTTTACAAACTCTAATTAAAATAATATTAATAAAGAACGTAAGTATAAAGTTTAATGGTGGCAAATTATTCATAAAATGAGTACTACCTAGGGAAAACCTGGAATTGTTGATTTTCCAAAATCAATTTACAGAAACGGGCTTATCAGACACATGATTCATTAAATAGAATTTATCGTAATTCATCAAGAGTCAGATCAGCCCGTTTAATTTTCGAAAGAATTCCAATTTTTACTTGGCAATTTTTGATGGTTATTGACAAAAGATGAAATCTATGAACTTAATGCGACCAATAGAATCTAGAAATAATGTTTCTTTTCTAACACAGAGCCAAATAAAATGATTTATATAAGTTGAATCGCATTCAACTCATACAAAACATAGCACAAAAACTTAGAGTATGCAGTTTGCGGTTAAAATGATAAGAATTGGTATAGGCACATTCAGTATCCTCCTAAATAATATCCCTGTAATTAAGACCCGGGTATTATTCACCACCTCTAGGCTTATTTTTGAATAAGACCCAGGGGTTCAGTTATATTGATTTACTACTTTTAATATGATATATTCCCCAAATAGGATTTCTATCGATTTCCTGACAATTCATTTGTCTGAAAAATCATTTCCCGACAATACTAGGTTCCCAACAGTATCATTTTTCTGACAGCACTTTTGGCAAATAAAATCTCGGGAAAATTGACTAGAGCTAACTTTAGCCCAAACTAATGCGGGCCAATTTGTCGGAAAGTGCTAATGTCAGAAAATAGATGTTGTTGGGAAACCAATTGTCGGGAAAGTGGATTGTCGTACCTGACTTTTTACATACCGTATTCTATCGTAATAAGCACCATCACCTCTACCTCATTTTTTAAAATGTCAGATTAGCGGAAATTACAATGAGATATTTAGCAAAGTTATTTCCGCCAATCTGACATTTAATAATATGGGGTAGAGGGGACAGTGATTATTTTTTGTAGAATACGGTAGTACCCGTATGTATGATTCAATTTTAAAAATGTTTACATAATGTCGAAGTTTATATGAATTTTTAATATAGCAAAATCTCGAAATAACGCCTATGCTCGTTATTTGAGATTTATAATGGGTTATTTTTAATTACTGTAAAAGTGAATATACAAGACCCGGGTCTCTCACATTCAAGCAATTTTAAAACCCTTAGTAGACTCCGGGTTTATATATGCTGAGAGGTTATATTATGAAAAAATTTTAAAGTACATACGCGTTTATATTTATTAATAGAGGTCTGGCTAATTGAAAAAAATCACATTTGATTAGAAGTTCTCATCCGAGTCTAATTTATAGCAGGTCTTCTATTTTGAGGGATCTTATATATGCACTTTTACGGTAAATGAATAAATCAAAGTATATTAAATAGTTAAGAAAGCCTACCAACAAATAATTATCAGAGTTGATCGTATATTTATTTTAAATATTTAATTATTAAGAGTTTCATCGATTGTCAAGACTTTATAGATATTGTGAAATATTTCATTATATGAATATTATAAACTTGTCAGAAATATTATTTAGCATTATTCATATAAATTTTATAACAAATATTTAATTACAGAAAGTTAGTATAAAATTTAAAAATTATATTATTAAATCTTAAATTTTACTAATTAGTGCATTTCACAATTATATATAGCATGTAAGCATAATATTCAAAAATACCTATTAAATATAAAATAAATTAATAGTTGCAATTTTTATATCAAATTATTTTATATTATAGGTAATAATTGTAGCTGGAGATATTGAAGTTTTTGAAGAAAAAAATCAAAATCAATTAGAAGAAGCAATAAACCGTATGAAAAACTCATCAGAAAACTTATTAAAGATTTTAGAACTTCAAGAAATCAAAGAATATCTTCAAGAAATTGATCAACTTAAAAATTTGAATGAAAAAGTTTTGAAAACTAATAATTCTAATGTGATCAATTTGAAACTTGACATGTTTAGTTTAGTTAATTTAAAAACCGAAATGCTTTCATTTATTGAAAAATTGAATAATATTGACTTAGAAAGCATTTTTTCAAACAAAATTAGTTTATCAATTAGTGAAATTGATAAATATTTACCTAGATGGAAGAATTATTGTATCAAGATTGCTAATTATTTTGAAAATCTTAGTAATCTTAATAACAACATGAAAGATAATTTATTCTTTTTCGAGATTCAAGAAAAATTATTAACTAAAATAGAAAAAGTTAAAACAGAATTACATGATCAGTTTCAAGAAGTTGAAAAATATAAATCAAAGAAAAATATATTTAAACCTTATCAAAAGGTAAAGAATTAATAATTATTATTTAACAATAATATTATATTAATATATTTTTTTAATTTAGGAAATAGATGAAAAAAATGAAAAGATATATTCAAAATTTCTTCTTACCATTGGGTTAAAATTAGTGTATGATTTAATTGCTGAATTAGGATATGTAGCAAAAAGATTAAAGCTTTTGGATCAATACTCTATTCAAAATATATCAGGTACATATTACTATGTACCTATTTATAACAGGAGAAAACATCAATATTATACAACTGATCCTTTATCCGTGTGCAATATATAAAAAAAATTTTACAATACCAAATCATTTTGCTAATACATGTTATGATTATAATCCAACACCATTTTATTATAATAAAGATGGTGTTGGATCATAATCATAACATATATTAGTGAAATGATCTGGTATTGTAAAATATTTTTTTATATGTTGCACACCGAGTGAAGAATCAGTTGTATAGCATTGATGTTTCTTCCTGTACCTATTCGTATTTTTAATAAAAATTAACTAAAATTTTTTTGCTATAGATTTTTGGAAAAAACTTATTTATGAGTTAGAATTAACTGAAGGTGCAGTAGAAGTTTTCAAAGAAAGTGAACAATACATTAAAGAATGTTGTCTTGATTACATTGTAAAAAATTTGATAAACATAGGTTGCTTAGTTAATAATTTCTGCAAACAAATTATAGTTGAAAGAATTGTAGAAATTTGAATATTTTTTATAAAAATACAAGAGAAAACAAATTTATATTATTAAATAAATATTATATAGTTTATTTTTACTTGAAATAATTTGATACATAAATATTGTGAATGCATATTAGGAAGAATTTCTACACAATAATGAAGGTATTTATTTACGTACATACCATTACATATCAATATAAGGATCCCAAATGTCTGTGACATTATCAAGCATCATTATTAGCATAAGGAATAAGAATTGATAAATATATATAAAAAATGTAACTATCGATTGTAAACTAGCAATTAAAGACTTTTTTTAAATTTGATAAATTTATAAAATTTTGTTCTCATAGTAAAGTATTTTGTTATTCAAGTTTTACTGTTTTGGTAATGTCAGCTTGTAGATTAGAACCCATTCCAAAGTCCCGAGTTTTATTTCTTTTATTTTTTTTTATTTTTTTTATTACATTTATTTATTATTATCTTTTTACCTGTATATAGTTATTTATTTATAATTCGTCCTGCTCATGCCCTTGTTTACGTTTAAGAACCGTGGTAGTAACAATAGATAAACATTAAGATGAGCAGTTGGGGCCAACGCCAAGCCGAATATTCGAATAAGCCATAAAGATTAAACTCATACAGGGGATCCCCAAAATTCCAGGTCGGAATACTTTGGATTTAGCCCGGCATTTAGTTAGTATTTATTAATACAAGTTAACCATTTCTGGGCCAAAATTATCAGCTGGGCAGCTTTACTTAATGAGTGAGCTATGGTTTCATTAGTAAAACTTTTAGTGATCTTGGGCAAAATTAGTTAATTCCGGCCCTGCCGACCATGATTCCGATGTATTCCGACCCGGAATTTTGGGGATCCTCCTGTATGAGTTCATAAGGGTACTGTGAGCTGTAGAACTGTAATCCCGGAAGGAGGTAATCGAAGTGGCGCAGAATGGGTATGCCGATCCTTTACCTAATATGGGCTTCCCGGGATTATCGGTCCTATAAGTCTTTTCGATCCGTTAGGAGATATAGGAGCAATAAGAGTTTCAAGAGAAAATGATAGTAAAAGGGATATATGAGATTTAAGGGTTTTAAGTGATAAAGGACGTTAAAGGGATATAATACGTTTAATACATTTAGTACCTTAATGATCGCATATGTAATAAACCAATATATAATAAAGGCTTCGAGCCCTACGAGAAGCAGTAGTTCGTGCTTGTAATGAAGTTTGACCCTAATGATTCCCTACCTTCGCTAGATTCCTAAAACCTACGATCATAAACACCCCACTCGCCAAATCTAACCGCCTCCTTTCGACTAAGCTGTTCGTAGATTACACGACATATCCGATTGACAAGCGACTGACTGGCCGTTTCCCCCGTGTCACCATCCTAAAAGTCGTTTACAACTAATAGAGAGAATAATGGCAATAAGGGAAATAGATGCAAATGATGATTAATGTGTTATATAAGAAATACGAGGTTTAAGTAATAAAGGACAGTAAAAGGGTAAATGAGAGTTAGAGGGTTAATATTTTTAGTACCTTAAAGAACGTATATGTAATAAAACAATATATAATAAAGGTTTTGAGCTTTACAAGAACGGTAGTTGGCGGCTATCATAAAATTCACTCCTAATAATTCTTTGTTTCATTCTGTTGTAAAACCTACGATCATAAACATACCACTTGACAAATCTAACTGCATCTTATCGATTAAGCTGTTTGTAGGTTATACAACATATTGTAAGGACGGATTTAGATAGAATTTATATAGAATTAATAAACGAATAGTAAAGTAAATACGACTGCAAAGCACAAACTACTTACCCGACACTAAGAAAAGTGCAAGTATTGTCTTATAAGACCCCAGTGACTATCGCTAATAGAACCCGTCCTAAAAAGAAGCTGAACCTGCCATTGATCGTTCGTCGCAAGTCACGTGACCATAAAGCCATTGCCGTAATAGAAGAATCCCAACCCCGATTCGACGTAGCGAAATCCCGGATGAGACAAGAAAATAAGAAAAGAAAGGAATTAGTAAAAGAAAGTAAGAAAGACTCAAGAAAAGAAGAAGAGACCAGTACTTACCTACGAATGATAGAGCACTCATCCAATCATTACACGAGGCCGACCTTCGATTAGCGCCAGACTCGCCAATTTAGGGACTCTCATGATCTTTGTGGCTACCGTGATGCTGGGAATTGTGATACCGAATACCGTGACCAATCACGTGAAAAATGCACAAAATTCAATAAGTGCAATAAGTTACATTTAGGATCGGAAAAGGTATTTTGGATCCATAAGGGTAGATAAGGAATAAGGAGAGGATATGAGGATAAATTACAGATATTAAATAAATCACTGTAAATAGTTTTAATTAGTTTTAAGATAGAATAAGTGTAAAGTCGCATTTGTGAGCGATGAATTGAGAGTAATAAATAAAGGCCGAAATGACCCTTGAGAGCAGTATGTTTCGTTTGCTTTATTAAACAATAAATCATAATATCCTACATTGTACTTAATAAACACTAACACTATTACCGTTACAAACCCTGCAAACTCCTATAAACGTTACTGTTCAACCCTTGACCACGTAACTTACCATACTTGCATTCGTTGACCCAAAGTAACTGAAAGCCTTTCTCGCCCACAAGCCAAATCTAACACCCTCTTTTGAAAAGGTTACTTGTCGTACGTTACACGAGGTTTAGAATTTTGGAGCAGCAGAGTCGCAAACTTCCGAACCCAACAATATCTATTTGTCAAGTGACTGAATCACCATTTCAGCTATGTCAATAGGAAGAAGTTTGTCTGATTGACTAATGTAAACCAATTGTCTGGGTAATTTAATTAAACACTTGAAAGTACTTTTTTGTAGTACAACATTTTCTAACAAACAATCATCACAAAAACCATTTATAGTTCTAGACTAGTGTCAATATTTACTATGTAAAAAAATCTAAAAAAGATCTTTTCTTAATGAACTTTGTTTAGAAGAAAATATACCAACTATTTATTGGGCAATTTCAAATTATATTGAAAATAAAAATAAGTAAGAATGTTTTGTTTAAGACATTAAATTTAAAAAAAAATTTATTACTAATAATTGAATTTGAACAAAAATAGGTTTATTGTAAAAGAAATTAAGTTTAATATGTGAACATACTTGGTTCTTGCATTGTGTTTTGGTCTGTTAATTGTAGATTGTATTAAGGTGTTTGGGTTTATTAATAATAAAATTTATTTTTACTTCACTTTATATATATTAATCTATCTTATATGAATTTTAAAAAATTAATTATTTTGAATATTTATTTTTTTATTTTTTGGTTTTTGTTAAGTTTGATGTTTATAATAACTATCACATTTATTGTATTTTCAACTATATATATATATATCTTATATAAATTAAGTATATAACTGATTACATATGCAACTTTTGATTACCTATTTAAATAGTTCACTTGTAGGTTCTATATTAGTTACTATATCTATAATCTACTAAAAGATTATCTATTTAATTATTCTGATTTCTATATTACATTAAACAAATAGTTATCTTGTTTCTGTACATCTAGTAATATCTAATCCAATATTAAATCTTTTTTTTGTACATTTATTAGATCATTTTTTATTTCAAAGTATGTTACTTAACTATAAAACTCAGAGCATCTTCTTGTTAATTAACCTATCTATTTTATGGATTATTAACAAAATTATATTTTTGCAAAATTAATTTAAATTTCAGTATTTATTTTATAATATATTTTTAATATTTTTAATATATATTTATTTTGTCTTTAGACTTACAATTTAAATAGTTTAATAGGACTATAATTTGTTCTTAGTATATTAAGTTTAGTCCAATATTTTTTTTAGTCTGAATTCTAATGGCTTAGTTGGTATTACTTTTTATTTAGAAATTATTATCTATTCAATTCTTCTATATTAGTATTTATTTCCTAAGTCTAGTCTTTATAATAATATTATCAAAGATCTATATTACTTTTTTATTTAAGTTTTATTAAATAAATTTTAGTTTTTCTTAGTTCTATAAATTTACATACTATAAGAACTATTTTAAATTTCACAAAATTATACAAATACTTTATTATTTGCTAATTATACTAGTTAAAGATATCTTATCCTAACTAATCAACAGTATGTTATTATTATAATACAAATATCTTTTAAATTTTTATCTTTAATAAGTTTTAAATTTACAAACTATCACTTGGAAGAGAAACAATTTGTTCACTTTACTAAGTTGTTATATTTTTTATATATTTATTAATTTATAAATTTCTTTATACAAAATTTTTTAATTTCTAATATATAATATTTTTTTATTAAATAATATTATAATAGAAACTATTATAATTAGAAATAAATTTCTAAATTTAAAGATTTCTAAACTATATTTGTATTACAAAAAAATATTTAATATAATATTATATTTTTTATATTCTAATTATATTATAATTAATTATTTTAAATTAAACTTAAATTAGAATAAATTAGAAGAAATCTAAGATAAAAATTAATAACATTAAAAAAAATATATAGTTAGATAAAAATTTGATAAAAATTATTTATTAATAATTGATAAAAATATTTGTATAAATTTGAATTAAATGTAATATTTTGATCTTATTTTTATTAATATTAAAAAGTATTATATCCAATTTAGTATATTATTTAATAAATATTACAAAAATATATCTATTTGTTTACAAATTAATATTTTAATATTACTATAAGTTGTAATTAAAAAGATTTTTGTAATTGTATAAAAAATGAAATAATACTAATAATTAAAAAAATTAAATATAAAGTATAAAAAAATATTTAAGACTCTTCCCAACGATCACTCTGACACAAAATTGTTGAAAAAGGAACTCAAGTTTTCTCAAGAAAACCAATAAGAAACCACTCAAACAGCACTAAGCTAAAAGAAGCAGCAGCAAAAAGTGCATTAAACAACCTTAGAAGCCAAAAGAACACAGTAATATTAGAGTAGT